ACGGGGTGGGCACGAGCGAGCATCATAGCCGGCTCAAAATCAAAAGAGGCATCATAGCCTCATCAGTCTAGATTGATCCACTCACGGATCCACTGCGATTTATTTCCATTGAATTCATTCCACGCGTAGCATGCTCACCCCTAATGGACCGCGAACGGGACCCAGTCCCCTGCCGGTCGTCTAGTGCCGCCATGATAGGCAAGCAGAGGGGCCATCATAGGCACCTCGCACCCAATTCGGGGCCATCAGCAAGGCTCGTTTTGGGAAGAAGGACCATCATAGGCCTTCGCGCTCAATCTGTTCATTGAACTCAACTGTCTCGTCATCGTCCTCCTCTTCCTCCCTGTCCTCCTCCTCCTGGTCCGCCCTTGCCCTCCCCCCCCCCTGGTGAGGACCATCATAGGCCTTACCAGTGAGGACCACCATGAGGCCTCACACCCCTTGCAGTTTCCATCACCGGAACTGCGGGGGTCGAACCAAATCCCCACAAACCTGGCGCCGTACGTGCAGTGCCAGGGGCGGCGGCCCGTCTTCCCATCTTACCATCATAGGAGGATGCGAAGTCCCTGAAGACGGGACGGGGTGGGCACGAGCGGGCATCATAGCCGGCTCAAAATCAAAAGAGGCATCATAGCCTCATCAGTCTAGATTGATCCACTCACGGATCCACTGCGATTTATTTCCATTGAATTCATTCCATGCGTAGCATGCTCACCCCGACGCCATAATTGTTTCGCAACCTCGACCCCCAGAAGTATCGACCCATTCCCCGGGACAGGCCTTCCAGCCTGAGTCGTGTTTGGACATCCCCGAGGCCCGGCAAGGAAGAGGAGGAGGAGGAGGAGGAGGAGGAGGAGGAGGAGGAGGAGGAGGAGGAGAAGGAAACAGGAGGAGGAGGAGGAGGGGAAAAGGAGGAGGAGGAAGAGGAGGGAGGAGGAGGGGGGGCCGAAAATGGGGAAAAGCTCCCGCCGCGATCTCCTCCCAGCGCGAGGGGGGCCTGGGGCTGGCAGCCCCCCTGCCCGGGGGGCCCCTAGGGGCCCTCGGCCCGCCTGCCCTCGCGGGCGCCGCGCGCGGGGCGCCGCGCGCGGGGCGCCGCTCGCGCGGGTGCCCGCCGCCCGCTCCGCCGCCCGCCTCTGAACCCGCTTGATGTGCCGGGGGCGGCCAAGAGGGGGAGGAGGAGGAGGAGGAGGAGGAGGAGGAGGAGGAGGAGGAGGAGGAGGAGGAGGAGGAGGAGGAGGAGGAGGAGGAGGAGAGGAGGAGGAGGATGGAGGATGGAAGAGGATGGAGGATGGAGGATGGAGGAGGAGGAGGAGGAGGAGGAGGAGGAGGAGGAGGAGGAGGAGGAGGAGGAGGAGGAGGGGGCCTTCTCCTTGCAAATAACTGCACCCTGTCGCAAACGTGTCGGGGGGGGTGGGCCAAGAAGGTCGCTTGAGACTTCCGTGACGTTTGCCATCTTGAGGCTGGACATTGTCTCGCCATCGCTCGGACGTCCATTCCCTGTGTTTTTTTTCGGTTTCGTGCGTGGTTTTTTCGGCAAATGATCATGGATTCTCCTCGATGGCCCTCGCCGAGGAAAAAACGCACACGTCCGAGCGATGCCAGGTTGTCAAGACAGATCTCTCGACCTTGGCGACACGTACTCTCGACTTGAAGGCTTGCAGCTATGACAAAGATGGGGGGCGCTGCGTTTTGAACATCGGACTCTCGTCTTAACGCCGCACAAGTTCGTGCTAAACCCTTTCGACAATAACTCACACGGAGAGCGGTTAATTCAAAATGCTTGTTTTCGCATCTCGCGCCGCGCATATTCGCCTAAGGAGAACATCTCCTTTTCAAAATGGTCCTCTCGCTTGTGATTCCCTAGATTTTAACTACCAGAAGCTTGAACACATCACAGCTGCGCGGATGGATGGGCTTCCATTTTCGAAATAGGACTACCGCTCGAGATTGCCACTGTATGTAGTAAGCATAGATAAGGGCAACCGTGTGTAACAGTTGTTCAAGCTGGTGGCGGTTAGTTTTCGAAGTAGGGCTCTCGTTGGAAACCTCGCTGGGCTGCATGATGATGATTAACTCTTCGCACTCCTTATAACTCGTTTGAGAGATGCAAACCAACTCCTGATCTCAACGGAATTCCGCATGGATGACAGTCCCAAAGGGGGCTGGTCGTTCAAGGGGGGCGGCCCTTGGAGTTGAGAGTAAGGACTGGGGACGGGAGGGTGTATTGCAACATTGCTGATTGATCCTTTTCTTTCTCTGGCACCCCTCCTCCTCCTCCTCCTCCTCCTCCTCCTCCTCCTCCTCCTCCTCCGGCTCCTCCTGCTCCTCCTTCTCCTCCTCTTCCTCCTCCTCCCTCCTCTCCCAGGAGGGGGGAGGTAGCGGGTTGACCGAGATTGCACTAGGAGGTGCAATAGAAGATGAACGACCGTGCAAAGCAATCACGAACAGAGTAAACAATGGGGGGGATGCGGAGACCCGCCTTGGAATAGAGGTGGAGCCGAACTCCGCGTCCTCCTCCAGCTCCTCCTCTTCCTCCTCCTGCTCCTGCTCCTGCTCCTGCTCCTGCTCATCCTCCTCCTCCTCCTCCCCTTCTCAGGTTGGGCGTGGCTTATTCGGGGGGTCACAAATGGGGGGTCAGAAAAGGTCCCCTTTCGTGCCCCTTTCGGGCCCCTCCAGAGCCCCAGGGGGCTCGTTTAGGTACCGTTTGGGTACCTTTTCGGGCCATACTCGCCACCCCCCCATTTATGACCCCCCATTACGCGGCGCCCAATCAGGGTGCCAGGCAAACGATTCCGGGTGCTGGATTCATTATCGTTTCGCCGGAAAGGGAGGAGTCCTTGATGGCTTCTCGCGGTCGACCTTCTCGGGAGCAGGACTGCACATGCGGGGCAACCTACGGAACGCAACCCAGTGGAGCAATCCGAACGTGGTGCCACCTGTGCGGTGCAGTCTGCGCGGTAGGACAGAGGCCCAGCCGCCGCAGAAGGCGGCTACGGGGCCGCCACGGGCGTCGACCAGCCGAACGCCAGGAACACCTGGACAATCACTTCAAACACACACGCACACAGACACGCACACAGACACGCACACACAAACACACACGCACGCACGCACGCACACACACACACAGACACGCACACACACAGACACGCACACACAACACACACTATGTTTGGTGGTCGAGGCCCTGCGCGCGGCGACGAGGCGGCGTAAGCCGAAAACACCAGACGCGTGCGCGCGCGGCCGTCGGTGTCGCATGCCCCCACAGCGAGCATACATGAGCGACAAAACCCTGCGAAGGCACCAGCAAATCACCTACAAGTCTTATCAAAATCCACACTTCCCCCGAGAGGTAGTCCCAACGAGCCGCCACACAGCAAATTCTCAGAAACTGCTTCACCTCCAGCACGCCGAACGCAACGCCTCCGCAGACCGGCCGCCGCCTTTTCCAGCTCCGACGACGCACGCACACTCGGCTAACCGACAGCGGTGAGACAAAATTGGGAAAACCAGGAGGTACCGATACCGCGGGGTGCGTTCTGACCAGCATCTCGAGGCGAGTCCAACAGTAGCGACGAGAGCCACCCAGAAAGCCCCCGAAGGGGCAACACGAGGGAAGGGTAGCGGTATCTAGAGCCCTCCTAGATGGGGTCCTAGTAGATGAGGTCGACGGATCGCGCCGTATCGCCAATGAATCGCCGATGCATCGGCGACGCCGGCGATGCATCGGCGACGTCGGCGTGGGAAACACGGTCTCCACATCGAGCCGCATCGTCGATGCATCGGCGATGCGGCACGATCCTCCGACCCCATCTACTCCGACCCCATCTGGGAGGCCTAGAGTATCGGTACCTTTCCTTCGTCTGGCAGAGGGGACGGCGGGAGGAACGAGGCGACGGACTTCCTCGAGACGTCTTGCGGGGATCGCCTCGGGGGGGGGTGCTGCGCGCACCATGGCCCGAGGCATAATGGCGTGGTCCATGGCCCGAGGCATAATTGCGTGCGCCGACGGTGTGTGCGGGTTGAACGAAGAGGAGTAATAAGAACACGGAGAGGAACAATAAGAAGAGGAGTGCGAACACGAAGAGCAAAAACACAAATAAGAGGAACAAGACGCAGAGGAATCAGATCAATAAAAACCAGAAGCAGATGAGGAATATGAATCCGAACAACAATAATAAAAATAGTAGTAATAATAATACTAATACCAATAATAATACTAATAATAGTACCATTAATCATAATAATAATAAGAATAATAATAATAATAATAATAGTAATAACAATAAAAATAAAAATAATGATAATAATAATAATAGTAATAATAATACTAATAATAATAATACTAGTAGTAATAATAATAATAATAAATCATAAGAAAAGGAGAAGGAGGTCGTGCAGCCTGGGAGATATCAAGACCAGACGCATGAGATCGGGGCAGGGAGAGGCTCGAGACGACGCCGGCTCGAGCCCGGGGCCCCAACACACGAGGTGCCCGAGCTGCGACCCGCCGTGGCGACGACGCCCCCCCCCAGAAGGCCCACTGCTGCTGCCTCAACTCCTCCTCCTCCTCCTCCTCCCATCCTCCCTCCTCCTGCTCCCTCCTCCTCCTCCTCCTCCTCCTCCTCCTCCTCCTCCTCCTCCTCCTTCCTCCTCTCCCCCCCCCCCCCCCTCCTCCCCCCCCCCCCCTCCTCCCCTCCTCTTCCTCCTCTTCCCCCCTCCTCCTCCTCGCCCCCTCCTCTGATAATATCCATAGCCCCCCAGTCCTCGTGGCGGACGCCCCCGAGCCTCCCAGACCCTCTGGTCCCTCCAAACGAGGTCCAAGCCAGGACGAGGACCACATCGGGTGAAGACACCTCGGGGAGCTCCGAGGTCCAGCAATCCTGGAGGATGTCTCGGGCGCCGCGGCCTTCTCGGAGCGCCCCAGGAACGCTCTGAGAGCGCTCCGGGACGCTCTGGAGCGGACCGGTTCTCGTCCAGACCCCGTCGCAACATCCCGCGATCCTGGACCGCGCAGGAGGCCCACCGGGCTCCAGCGCCGCCACGGCGCGCTCCGAGGTGGCGCCGGACGCCAGCGCGAGGGCGGCGCAGAGCAAGAGCCGCGGGCCAGGCCTTCCTGGCCGAAGACCCGGAGAAGATGAAGACGAGGAGGAGGGGGAGGAGGAGGAGGAGGAGGAGGAGGAGGAGGAGGAGGAGGAGGAGGCAGGTGACCAGTGTAAGCACAAGGCCCATCAACAGTGTTGCAACAAGCCCTCCCTGCAAGTTTCCCCTGCATAGGTCCCGAGAAGGGTTCATTTTCACTCAGGTAAGTGCCCCGTTGGAAGACAACCGTTTGAAAATCCTGAACTGTTGCAGAACACCTTCTCCCTGGGATTTCAACGCCGCGAATGAACGTTTCTGTTGCGTCGTGAGGACCTGGACAAGAAGGAGTGGGAGGAGGACGAGAAGGTTTTTGAAGGCTGCTGGACGTTCTTTAATGTTGTTGGCCCTTCGGGGATCAATGGAATCTTGCAGGTGCCTGTGGGGACCTCCGGGGATCTTCGCAGAGAAGCTCCGGGAGGAGCAGCAGCAGCAGCAGCAGCAGCAGCAGCAGCAGCAGCAGCAGCAGCAGCAGGAGCGGCATGAGCAGGGGGGGAGGAGGGGGAGAAGGGGGAGGGATATAGCAGCTTTCGTCACCGAACCCCGATGCCACCAGAGTCGAGGAAAGGATGGTTGGAAGAGTACGATGAGGGTCGTCGGCGTCGTCGCCGCTGATCGCCGCTGATCGTCGCTGTCGTCGCCGTCGCTGGTGGTCGTCACCGCGGGGCGTGGGGCCCGGCGGAGGCCCCGCAGGGGCGGGGGGCTTGGTATGGAACGCGTCGGGGCCGCCAGCCCGCGCATGGCGGCGCGCGCTGGGAGGCGGCCCCACGGCCGCCCTTTCTTTGAGCGCTGCACGGGGCTCTTGAACGTCGGGGCATCGTCTTGCACCTCCCCCCTCCTCCGCCCCTTTCCTGCTCCCGCCACCCGCCTCCTCCCTCTGCTCCTCCTCCTCCTCCTCCTCTCTCCTCCTCCTCCTCCTCCTCCTCCTCCTCCTCCTGCTGCTGCTGCTGCTGCTGCTGCTGCTGCTGCTCCTCCTCCTCCTCCTCCTCCTCCTCCTCCTCCTCCTCCTCCTCCTCCTCCTCCTCTTGCATCCTCCTCCTCCTCCTCCTCCGCCTCCTCCTCTTGCATTATCTTCTTCCTCTTCCTCCTCCTCTCTCCTCCTCCTCCTCCTCCTCTTCTTCCTCCTCCTCCTCCTCTTCTTAAATCCTCTTCTTCCTCTTCCTCCTCCACCTCCTCCTCCTCGTCCTCCACCTCCTCCTCCTCCTGACCCTCCTCCTTCTCCTCCTCCCCCTCCTCCTCCCCCCTCCTCCTCCACCTCCTCATCCTCATCATCTTCCCTCCTCCTCATCCGTCTCCTCCTCCTCATATTCCTCCTCCCCATCCTTCTCCCTCCTGGAGCTCCAATGCTACCTAGGGTGGCCGACCATTTTTGGGGGGGATTTCACGGCCATGTCAATCACGCTGCTTCATGCTGCAGTTCGGCGTGTTACTGCCGTACAGTCGGGTTGCTGAAAGAAGGAACGATAAACAAGGAACGAAGCCCCCTTTTGGCCCCGCAAGCGCCTGCGTGCACGAGGAAGGCTAGAGGAGAAGCCATAGAAGGACCTAAGGAATATCGAGCCCCTTTCTTACCCAAACTGTTCCTTATTTCAGCGACTTGGCAGCAGCAGCAGCAGCAGCAGCAGCTGTTCGGTGCGAGGCCCCCAACAATTTCGCCGCCACCGGTGCAATGGGGAGGCGGGCAGCCGCCCGTGGCAGAGTCCCTGGTGAGGCCTCTGGCAGGCCTGGTGTGTGTCTGCGTCAATAAGGAATACATTATGTGTTTCCTGCTGCCCCGCTTTAAGACCTGTTCCTGTCGCCTTTCTGTGCGCCCCCCCCTCACGCTGTCCCCTTTTCCTGGAGCGTGCTTGGCAAAAGGACGCACTTTCGCTGGCTCGGATCGGCTGGTTGACACTATGTTCCCCCTCCCCCTCTTCCTTCCTCCTCCACTTCATCCCCTTTCAATGCTATTTAGCATTGTGACATTGTGATTGTGATGATCTACTTGCTCTCTTCCTTCCTCCCTCCTGCTTTCGTCGTGCGTCCGTCGTCCGCCGTGGCCGCTGGGGGGGGGGGGGCGCGTGCGGACGGTGCCACTGGGGCCGTCAGTGGAGTTCCCAGTGGAGCCACGAAGCGCTGTACTGGGCGGGGGGGACGCATGCAGAACGTGCCACTGGGGCCGTCGGTGGAGCTCCCTATGGTGCCACGAAGCGCCGTACTGGGTGGGGGGTGGACGCAGGCGGGCGGTGGCACTGGGGCCTCGGCGGAGCTCCCTATGAAGCCACGAAGCCTTGTACTGGGTGGGGGGCGCGGGGGCGCATGCGGCCGGTAGCACTGGGGCCTCGGTGGGGTTCCCGGTGGGGCCACGCAGCGCTGTTATGGGCGGGGAGGTTGCGCAGGCGGGCGGTAACATTGGGACTTTCGGTGGAGTTTCCCAATGGGGCCACGCAGCGCTCGGGCAGTAGCGGTCGGATGAGCTCTCTATTGGGCCACGACGCGCTGTGCAGTGTGGGTGGGTGGAGGGGGGGGGACGCATGCGGGCGTTAGCACTGGGGCCGCCAGTGGAGCTCCCTATGGGCCACGAAGCGCTGCATTGTGGGGGGCGCATGCGGGCGGTAGCACTGGAACCTTCGATTGGGGCCACGAAGCGTTGTACTGAATGGGGGGCGCATGTGGGCGGCAACACTGGGGCCTTCGGTGGGGGTCCCTATGGGGCCACGAATCGTGTGAGTGGTGTGCCAAAATGGTTGACTGGTGTGCGGGGCATAGGCGAGCATGAGAGGAGGGAGGGGGATGGGGAAAGAGGAGGAGACGCAAGCCAGTGTCTCCTCAAAACGAAGACCCAACACCCTGGGATGGCTGAGAATGGATCAGCCTGGCGAAATACCCAACCATATGCAGCTGTGGATATCGTCTTCGGTGGAGCCCCCCCCTATGGGCCACGGAACGCTGTACTGGGCGGGGGGGGGCATGCGAACTTTGCCACTGGGGCCGTCGGAGGAGCTCCCGATGGGCCATGAAACGCTGTACTGGGTGGAGATGCGCATGTGGACTTTGCCACTGGAGCTTTCGGTGGAGCTCCCTCTGGGCCACGAAGCGCTGTACTGGGCGGGGGGGGCGCATGGGGACGGTGCCAGTGAGGCCTTTGGTGGGGCTCCTTATGGGTCCACGATGCGCTGTACTGTGGGTTGGGGGGGCGCCTGCGGACGGTTCCACTGGGGCGTTCGGTGGCGCCCCCCTGTGGGCGACGGAACGCTGTACTGAGTTGGGGGGCCTTGAAGCGAGTGCTGTTCTGGGGCCACGACGCGCTGTACTGGGGGGGACGCAAACGGGCGGTAGAACTGGGGCCGCCCGTGGAGCTCCCTATGGGGGGAGGCTTGCGGGCGGTTCCACTGGGGCCTTCGGTGGTGCTGCCTATGCGGCCACGACGCGCTGTCCTGGGTGGGGGAGACGCTTGCGGACGGTGCCACTGGTGCCTTCGGTCGGGTTCCCTCTAGGGCCACGAAGCGAAGTGCTGGGGGGGGGGAGACGCATGCGGACGGTGCCACTGGAGCTTTCGGTGGGGTTCCCTCTAAGGCCACGAAGCGAAGTGCTGGGGGGGGGGGACGCATGCGGGCGGTGCCAGTGGAGCCTTCGGTGGAGCTCCCTATCAGGCCACGAACCGATGTACTAGGTGGGGGGAACGCGTGCGAATTTTGCCACTGGGGCCGTCGGTGGGGGTCCCTATGGGGCCACGAAGCGCTGTACTGGATGGGGGAGACGCATGCAAGCGGTAGCGCTGGGGCCGTCGGTGGAGCTCCCTATGGGGCCATGAAGCGCTGTTATGGGCGGGGGGGGGGCGCATGTGGGCGGTAGCGCTGGGGCTGTCAGTGGAGCTCCCTATGGGGCCACGAAGCGCTGTACTGTGTGTGTGGAGGGGGCACGCATGCGGGCGTCAGCGCTGGGGCCGTCGGTGGAGCTCCCTATGGGGCCACGAAGTGCTGTAGTGAGTGGGGGGGAAGGCATGGGGGCGGTAGCACTGGGCAACTTCCAATGGGGCACGAATCTTTGTATTAGGTCGGGGAGACGCATGTGGGCGGTAGCTCTGGGACCTTCGGTGGAGCTCCCTGTGTCCATATGGGGCCACGAAGCGCTGTACTGGGTGGGGGTAACGCATGCGGGCGTCAGCACTGGGGCCGCCGGTGGAGCTTCTTATGGAGCTACGCAACGCTGTAGTGGGTAGGGGGGATGCATGGGGGCAGAAGCACTGGAACCTTCAGCGGAGCTGCCTATGGGGCCACGACAAATTCTTTCGGGTGGGGGGGGACGCCTGCGGGCGGCAGTGCTGGGACCTTCGGTGAAGCTCCCATGTGGGGCCACGAGACGTGTGAGGGGTGTACCAATACGGTTGGCTGGCGCGGAGGGCAGAGGCAGGGACGGGAGGAGGGGGAGGAGGATGAGAGGAGGAGAGGAGACGCGGGGCGCCTTTTTCTTCAGAACGAGGACCCAACACCACAGGATGGTTGGGAACGATTGGCACATCTTGGACACGGCAACCGAATTCGACACCAAGCGCTGAACTCCATGCGCCAAGCAGCAACACTGAGTTCTTTCGCAATGGATTCGATAGCCCGCCCTTTGTGTGAAGATCTTTCGTGACATCGTCTGGAGGGCGTGTATTGTACAGCTTTCGAGCCATGCAATGATTTGTAGCATGTGGTTTGCAAAATGCATGCTCAGCAGTGCGAGGAGACGAAGGTGCAGCGTAGCGGTGGGTAGCGATGGAGAGAGAGGAGGGATGAGAAGGAGTCGGAGGAGGATAGTAGGCACACGCAGGGGGTTAGGGGGAATGATGAACAAGATTGCGCAAATGGAATGGGGCAATCAGGGAGGAGCAGGAGGAGGACTGACACAATCTCCTCCCTTCCCCAGTCTTGCACGGATCTTTTTGCCGAGTGTCAGGCTTCGCCCTACGCATAGCGTCTTGGACAGGCTGCCCGGCGCTCCTGCTGGCACGTGCACCCAGGGCTGGGTGGAGGCGCTCTCGAGTCCCAGACCTGCGATGCCGTGACTGATTCACGACGTACCCCTGGCCGGCTACACGCAAGAGCGACCCCAGGCAAGAGTGACTTTATGGGAACACGCAATGACATAAAGGTCAAACTCAGAGGTCCGCGCGGATGTCTTGGATCGCCGCCGGAGGCGCCGCCAGGGGGGCCCAGCGCCGATCCTCCTCGAGTTTTTGTGTACTGTACAGTCGGACCTGGGACAGAAGAACATCCTTCAAGAACACGAGACCCTCCGCTGGCCAAAACGCACAGAACATCCAAGGGTACCCTCCCCAGGGTGCACAAGAACATCCGAAAAGCACATAGAAAATCAGGGTACCCTTCCCGCACCGACCTCGATCATATACCTCGGTCCGACTGTATGTCATTGCTTGTTCCCCTGCACCTTCTGTGCGCGACTTGCCCGTCGCAGCGATGCGACATTGGCGGCCTGCGCGCTTGCGTTCAGCCCTCCCTCGCGTCCCCGCGACAGGCGCGCACCAAAAAGGCCACCCTGGCAGATAGGGCCACTCTTACGTGCAGCCGACCCTGGAGCTCTCGACTCAAGACGAAGTCAGCACCAGGGACAAAATCGGACCCGGACAAGTTGGGGATCTCTGTGAAGCGGCGACTCTGGAGGATGTGGCGGGCGCCGCGGCCGTGCCCGAGCGCTTCGAACGCTGTCAGA